TACTTCCAAGAGTCTCCCAAAAAGATCCCAGGTAGTTAACACTTTCATTTCACTTTTGTTAGGTCCTGAATCCCTCAAACCAATGAAGTTGATGTGGACTTCTGACCTACAGACATTATGAGATAGTAACTTGGAATTGTTTGAAGAACCTAGGTTTGTGGAAATTTGTATGGCAGCAAAAAAAAACTAATAGAAGGCTGTTCCATTATGTTACTATAACACGACATTTAAAAATATCTATTTTACTATTGATGGATTTGGATTGCTTCCAATTGAGACTTAATATGATTAATGACGCTAAGAACATTCTTATATGTGTCTTTTGACAGATATATGTACATATTTCTCTTGGTAGATAATTAGAAGTAGAATTGGTAGGTTGTATTATATGCATATTTCAGCATTAGTAGATATTGCTAATCAAAGTGGCAGCAGTAATAGGTACTTCTACTCATAGTCTATGAGAGACCCAATTGTTCCATGTCCTTGCCAACACTTGGTGGAAATTTAAGGTGCTAAAGAAGAAATAATAATGTTTGTAAATGTTTGTTGCTACTTCATGGTGTTTTGATTTGCAGTTCTCTGATGACAAATGATGTTGAGCATATTTTCTTATGCTTACTGGATGTTTGAAGGTATTGTTTGAGAAGTACCTGCTCAACACTTTGTCAACCATTCAAGCAGTCCATAAGCAACACCATAGCTGCTTGATTGGCTCACCATATTTCTATGAAACTGGTTAGTAAGGAAAGAGTGAGCTCAAATGGATTTATACAGCACAGGAAGCATCATAGCCTTCTGTTTACATCTCATGTCCGCAAAGTTCCCTCTCCCCACACATCCTATGGGGAATGCAGAGGTGGGCCTAAGTGGATGCTACATCTGTGACATAGGTCTATGCCTCAGCTAAGAGCACGGCTCTTAGGAGCTTCCCAGTCATTTATGGGGCTGCTGATAAACCTGCCCTTTCTTTATATCTGAGAAAGAGTTAATAAACATATGCAAGTAAATCTTCTGGTATGTAAACAAATTTTCTTCCAGAAGAGGAGGGAGACTTCAGTATCATGGAAGATAAATAAATTTTCTCTGTGACCCAAAAACCATCTCTAGCTTCCAAGCCTGTTTGCCACAGAAATACTCTTGAAAAGATATATATTATATGATTACATAAATACATATGTACATACATATATTATAGTTCTATGTACATACATGCACATACATACATGTATTATATAAATATTAAACTATACATATATAGTTTTATAATATAAAATATTATTACTATATTGCTTTTGCTGTGTAGCATAATTTTTATTCTGTCTTCTTTTTCTTACACAGCTCAAAATATTGCCTAATTTCTATTGTAATTTTTTTTCTTTTACCCATGGGCTGTTTAAAATTATTATTATGAAAAAATTTATAGATTTTCTAGTTTCTTTTTGTAATTTATCTATGGTTTAATTTTATTGTGGTCAGAGAACATAGTCTGAATGAAGCTTAATGCTTTGAATTTGGCTAAGACTTGCTGTAAAACATTTTGGGGAATGTTTCATGGGCACTTAAACAAACGTATATTCTTCAGTGATTTGTTATACTGTTCTGTATACACAAATTAGGTTAAGTTGTTTAGTTTTCTTTAAACTTCCGTATTCTTATTTTTTTTTTTCTGCTTATTCTATCAGTACCTAAAGAGATAAGTTAAAAATATCTCAGTCTGTTTCTCCTTTCAGTTCTGTCAACTTTTGCTTTATGTATTTGACTATATTATTAGGTAAATAGAAATTTAAGGTTGCTATCCTTACAGTGAATTGACCCATTTATTAAATATCCCTCTTTATCTCCAGAAATGTTTCTTTATTTAATGTCTACTTTGTCTGATATTAGTATAGTTAAACTAGCTTCCTCTTAGGTAATGATCATATAGCTTTCCTTTTTCCAGCTACTTTCAATTTTGGGGTCATGTAATATTTAAGGTGTATTTTTCATAAGCAGTTTATAGTTGAAGTTTATACTTTTATGCATTCTAAAAGTTTTTTCCCGTGATTACATATTTAGTCCACTTACATTTTGTGTGCTTACTAGTATATTTGCTTTTATAGCTTCTCTCTTGCTATTTTTCTTCTTGTTGTCTCATCTGTCATTTCTTCCCTTTCCTCATTTATCTTCCTTTGAAATAACATTTTTATGATTAGTTTTCATCAATTAGTTATTTAGTTATACATCCCTTTATATTTATTTTATTTATTTAAGTATTTTTTGTTAGTAATTATATTGAAGGTTACAATATTCATTTTTAACTTACTACATTCTATCTTCGGATAGCATATTTTCCACTTCTTTGCAATGCAAGAACTTTGTAACACTTCTCTTTTCTGGTCCTCTTCATTCCTTCCTGCTTTTTGTTTCTTTGCTCCTATATAATATTGTTTTCTTTGGTGTTAAGAACTGCCTTTAGTATTCCATCTGTACCATTCTACTAGAAACAAGTTTTTCCATTTTTATTTGTCTGAAGTCATGTTTTTCCTTAGTTTTTGAATAATTCTTCACTGAGTATAGAATGCTGGGTTGATAATTATTTTCTTGTGCTAGCTTTAAAATATTATCATATTGTCTTCCAGCTTTATGATCGTTGTTGAAATGTCAGCCATAAATATTCATGTTGCCTCTTTGGAAATGATGTTTCTATTTCTTTCTGGCTGCTTTTAAAATTCACCCTCTGTCTTTCTCTAATTTTTACATATTTTTTCTTCATTGCAATTTTGCCAGAAAATGTCCAACTGTATTTCCCTGGTATTTAACCTGCCTGAGGTTTTTAGGTCTTTTTATTCATGGCTTCATGTTTTTCTATCACTTTGGGAACATTCTCAGTTAAAATCTCTTCAGAATTGCCTCTTCTCTATTCATTTTACTATTCTATAGAGCTCTACTTATAGGTATTTTTCGTATGTTCTTTGTGTCTTATATGTCTTTTAATTCCTTTTACCTATTTTTATTTAAAAAAAATAATGCTTTAATCATCATATTTCAGAATGAGGCACTATATACCTGATGGCACAGAACTGGGATTTGTCAACAAAAGGCTCAGATTCTAGGGTGATTAAGTGGGGATCCAGCCATTTTACTGAGATACTTCCAGAAGTCAGTATCTTTTCTCTTAGACTGACCAATTTCCTTAATAGTAACTGAACAGTTTCCTGCTCTGGTGTATGATTTGGAGTTTCAGAATTCTGATATTAGAGGAGAATAAGAGTTTACTCATCCCATCTTTTAGTATGTAGACTTTCATTTAATCCTCCTGTTTTCAGTAATATTAACTTGAAATAAAGATTATGTAGAGATGCATCTCTAAGCGAAGGTCTTATTTGGAAACAAAAAATTGTGATTCAGGCTACATAGACCAGCATAGCCACAAGGTTTGTCTGAAGAAGAAAAGGAAAGGCTAGAGTTTTATTGGGAAAAAGAACAAAGTTATGTAAGCTGTCTTGAAGGAAATTTTATTGGTGCTGGCAGTGCCTTAAGGGAGCTGGTGACTTCTGATTGATGAGTGTCAGCAGTTACCACGTAAGACTTAAAGTTACAGATAGGACTTTGTGCTTTTGCTGTTGAATTACATAAAGAGTTTCTGGAACAGACATGCATGATCTGGGTGCCTTTCTCCATGGCCTCTGAATTCATTTTATTTGGGTATAACGTGAAGGACTGTATTTTGTAAAATTAATTTTCACAGTAAGTTCCTCAACCCAAATTGGTGCCTGTCTGGTTAAACATCTCCAGAGAGAACTTTCCAGTCTTTGGTCAATGCATAGCAAGGGCAGACTCCCAGACCTAGATATTTAGTTATACTTCTTAAACAAATTTCCTACCAAGTTTTGTGCCTTCCTCGTTCTTTTTAATGCTTGCTTGACACTTTCAGGAGCATTTGTTGGGTGCTAACCTGCAGGCTTACATTTCAGCCTTATCCATTCTGCTTAATCACATGTCCTTTGTCTATTGACTTTTCAGTTTTCAAAATGACCTCTCAACTCACTTCTCCCTGTTCTTGAGAGTTCATAGATTTAAAATCTTCTCTTTAAAACCATTTAAGTGGTGTCTAGAGAAGAAACTGGAATAAATAATGTGATCCATTGATCATTTTAAATTATAGGTACCAAAGAGGCCAACTTCTCTATTTTATTCTTGTTGCTGAATTATTATTGCATCTTGTTATTTTGCATTTTTTTGGTGATGATGGTGGTAATCAGAGCAAATCAGGATTTACTGTGACTACACCAATAATATATTCTTACTCTAATTTTAGGTGAGTGTACAAGTTCATGGTAGTTAAAACATTTCTTATTGAATATAGAGCAAAGTAGAATCCTATATTTTCCTTTAATTCTAAAATGTGAACAAAAAGTAAAAATGTGAGAATATTGCCATTCTAAAACCACATTTACATATACTTGCCATAATATTTGCAGGTCAAATATTACTTTGACTCTGTGACCTCAAATTATTGTTTACTGTATGTTAGGCACTTTGTATTAACTTTATGCTACAGTATATAAGGAAGACAGGTATTATTATCCTTTTGAAATAGATGAATAAACTGAGAATCAGAGTTGAGTCAACATCTTGTTCAGAATTATGTAGCTAATTACTGCTAAGCCTGAGAGTCCACACTTAAGCATATTTCATAGTATTATCAAAGCAATGATTTTGTCTTCCTGAAAAATGCTTTCTTCCTTATCTGACATTTACCCAAAAAAGCCTTTAGTGATCTGCAATTTAGAATGAGCTGCTCCAAGATATGGAAAAACACAAACTGTGTTATTCTTGGCCAGTGTTACTTTCATTAGAATTAGGACACAGTTTTACAATAGACTTACACACATATTTTAACTGCCTTTCCATTATTGCACATATGCAGCTTATGTCTAGGAAACTTTAAATAATAATAAGAAAAGAAACAATTGGAAACTGGAATTAATTACAAGTAAAACATTTTCTTCTAACAGAGAGAAGAAGAAAAGGATCATAAGGTGCGTTTGGCAATTGGAAATGGTATACGGAGTGATGTTTGGAGAGAATTTTTAGACAGATTTGGAAATATAAAGGTGTGTGAACTTTATGGAGCTACTGAAGCAAACATATCTTTCATGAACCACACTGGGAAAATTGGAGCAGTTGGGAGAACAAATTTCTTTTACAAAGTAAGTACAGCATTTTCCTTATGAAAGAAGTACATTGAGGTCTGCTAGCTCTCTTCAAGATACTGTGCCTGTAAATTATGGTAAATATTATCATCTATTTTTAAGTTGAGAATTTCTAGAAATAGAGTAGTGGGTTCTAGGTGAGAGATGGTGCTATAGGTTATGCTAACCTCAGTTATCTTCTATGTTTTCTCTCTCATATCACCATAATTATGCCTTTTTTTGTTCAGTTTCCAAATTTAATGATATAATGTAAAAATAGGAAGCATAGGCCCTGATATATATTAATTTGACTCTTTCCATTTTCCTGGAGTATTTTTATTTCACTATTTCTACTTATCTTCCATCATTGATACCACTCAACAATTCTACACAGAATTTTAATATTTTGTAAACTATATTAAGATACCACTAAAATCTTAAAAGTAGCCAAAAAAACCAATGTTTTAGGAGGAGAATATTGACAGCTGATTTCTCAGTAGCAACCACAAAAGACAAAAGACAGTGGACATTTACCTTAAACTAGTTCGGAAACAATATCTGTGAAACTGGAACTTAAGAATATTTTTTAAGAATAAAGGCAAAAGTAAACATAGCAGTCTCAACCTTTATAAAGCAAAACTGATATAGCTTCAAGAGAAGATAAATCTTCAATCATCTTCTATAATAATAAACAAACTACTAATCAACATTATAAAAGACCCTGCATCTAACAACTGCAGTATATCTACTTTATTCAAGCAGTTTTGTAACGTTTACAGAAGTTACTGGGCCAGTTAACTAATTCCAATGAATTCCAAAGGATTGAATATATATAAATTATGTTCTCTGAAAACAGTTTGTTGGTAGAAATAATGTTTTTAAAAGAGAACTAGATAATCTCTTATATATTTAAAAATAAGACATTTCTAAATTCCCATTCATCAAAGAAATAAATATTATTAGATATTAGAAGATACTATGAGCTAAATCATAATGAAAATGTTATATTAAAAAACATATATATTTAGCCAAGAACAGCTGAAAATTGGATGGAGCTAAGTCACCATGTCTATAAGTTAATTTTTAAAAAGACGACTAAGATAAAGTCAAAGGAAATAAAAGAAACAATAAAGAGCAGAAATGACACAGAAAAAGCATTTGGTGAAGAATATAAAAATAAATAGAAATAGAATTTTTTAAAAAGTAAAGAAATTGATTCTGATTGATAGAAGGCACAAGTAATATCAGAAATGGAAAGGGAACATGGCTGCTGATATTTTAGACTTATGACAGTAAAAAAGGATATGTTGAGTAAGCTCTTATCAATAAATTTGAAATTGTTAGATGAATTGGATGAATTTCTAGAAATGTACAACTTACTGGTATTGACTCAAGAATTATTTTATCACACTAAATGAAATAAATTAATACTCCAACATCTTCCCTTAGTTTCAGATACCTTTCCTGCTCAGGATAATGAATATTCAAAGAGCGAATAATTTCTCTCTTACAAACTCTTCCAGACAATGCAGAAGGAGAAAAAACTTCCCAACTCACTTTTTGACTCCTAAACCTGACATAAACAGTGCAAGAACAAAAGTACTCCATACAGTCATACATGTATGAGGAAAGTCTTTGGTTGATAATCTCTCTCCTCAGGTGTGTTTCCTCAGTGGCCTCAACTGTTCGCTGAAAGTAGCTCTAGCCTATAGCATTGCTGTTGAGGCTTCCAAAGCACCCTACTCAAGTTATATTTAGAGCTGCCTTTGAGGAGATCTTTAAGAATCCCATAGTGCGAACTTTGGTGCGTTTGTATCACTTTCCTCCCTAACTGCTTTAGTTTTATAGGTAGTTTTCTGTATACAAAACTGCTATACCTCAAAGAACATGTGGAAGCAACAAAGTATTTGCTTTTCTAATCCGCGGTGATTTTTTTCAGTATCTGGAAGTAATTGACAAATAATGTGTTTTTCATGCCACCGCAGCTCACTTTTTCAGCCTGGTGGCCTGTTCAAAGCCGGTATAAATCACAGTAGAGCTCTAAACCTAAAGAAGGTACAAACTATTTTTATAATGCATTCTTTTGGGAATTTGAGAGTATAGTTGACATCTCAGATATGCACTTTATTCTGAACAAAAGCATTTTGGGGAAATAAGTGCTGACTTTACTGAGTTTTACATTCCTTGCAGTTAATGTTCTCAATTCATTGCACTGGTTCCATTACAAATTCGATATTGATATTGAGCCCCTATTGTGATGCTGAATCATTCTTACATGACCAACCTACGAGAGTATGATAATTTGTATTTTATATTCTTGACTTTATTATAATTTTCTAATGCTTTAAATTTTGCCAACTGTAATAGTGTCAATCATGTAAAAAGTCATGATTGTCTTTAATTTATTTGGAAAACTGATTTTCAACTCATTTTAGTTTTCTTTTTCAGTTTGGAAATGAAAAAAACAAAGTTGTGCCTGATACTATATGACTTCTAGTTTGTTTTTTATCATTTTATTCACATATTGTTTTGTTAGATAGCAGGTAATTAGAAAAATTTGTTTCAATGATTGTCTCATAATTAAGTGAGGAGATTTGATAAGTGTCTCTCAAAAATGCTAACCTAATGGAGGATCATGGTTATTATCTCAGAGGGAAGCAGCCTCCAGAGATAGAATTTTGCAAATGAAGGAAAAAGATAAGGCAGCAACACAAAGTTCCTGCAACTCATTGTCTTTACGTGCTACACTTAGTATTTTAATGCATAAAGCTGAAGAGATATTGTCCCACATATTCCCTCAAGGCAAACAATATAAAAAATTTAGTGACAACATATTTGAGAGAAAAACCCAAGTAGAATGATGGACTGCCTTCTCTTTTTCTACAGTATTCTCACCTGGGGAAAATAACAAGGAAGAGACAAACATAAAATACGTAGATAAAGTAAAGCTTGAAAAAAGGGAGAAAATGAATATAACTAAAAGGCAGCTGAAAAAATATGAATGCACATCAAAATAGTAAGTTCTCCAAAACAGCCAGGAAATGTTTAGGAAAACAATTTCTCACAGGCTTGAAAAATCCCAATAATATTCTCTTTGAAGATAAGAGCTCAAAAGAGAGGAAGGATCAAGGAAAAACATAAATCAACAAAAGAACTAAAAGTAGGCATGCTCAACTCAAAGAAAAAAATAGAAGAAAAATGTAACTATTGCACAGATGACCATTACACAAAAGAACTCAAAATCAACAGGAATATAAACATTGTTAGGGGAAAGATCAGTGGAATTAAGGAGTTCCCCCAAACACAATAAAAAGAGTAAGCGAATGATAATTTAAAAATTAAGAAAAAGGATTTTGAAAACATAGATAATGATCTGACGTGTCCTAATTGGTGTTCCTGCAGAAAAAAACAGATCAAAGGAAAAAAAGTAATTTTTTCTACCCTAATAGAAGAAAATTTCCTTAAAGTAAAAACTTGAATCTTTAGCAAAAGAGTACACTATGTTTCTAGGGAAAATCTGGGATAGAATGATTATTAGAAAAATACATCCAGGTGAAAATATGAAACAAAAATTAAAGAACTATAAGGAGATGTTGAGGTAGGAAAAGCAAAGAATACGCAAAATGTAACCCCGGTGAGGATGGAAAACATCTCAGGCATCTCTCAAAACAAAACACTCAAGGCTAGAAAAAAAGGAAAGAATTGTCTTCACCTAAGAATTTTTGTTTTGGCTAAGTTGCTTCTCAAGTATCAAGTCAACAAAGAGGTTTTCTCAATGTTTTAAGAAGTCAGAAACTATAATACCCTCATATTTATAGGAATGCAATATTTCTTCCTAAAATCCACTAAATGAAAAATTATGACCAACTTGAAGAGAAACCATAGAAATGAAAGAATCACCTTCAGTTAAAATGTCTGATGGTGAACATTTAATCAAATCACATATAGAAGATTGAACAACTCTGAATTGTTTATACATGGAATAAAACCTGACAATGTAAAAATAATTATAACACTACCAAAAATGGGAGTTGGGAGGGAGGAAAGGAAGAAGTGATTGTTCTCCTGTCATATTGGCAAATCCATAGATACAATGGAATTTAAGATTTAAGTACCATCTAAACTTAAATTTAAAAATAATATATGAGATTAATAAAATGACTCTTTTCTTAATCATTTTCATAAGCTATTTTATTATCTTAAAAGTAGGCATCTTTTAGGGATGGGGAAAGTTAGAGAACTTTGAAATAAGAGTTACAAGACCACCCTCCTTTCTGACATCAACTGCAATTTCAGGAGTCTTATAAGACCACTCTCAGGTTTGATAATTTGCCAAAAGGACTCACAAAACTCCACCTATTACATCTAAAGGATCTAGAGTATAATCGGCCCAGGGATGACATACATAAAGCAAAATCCAGGAGAGTACCAAGGGTGAAGCTTCCAGTTATGATGTGTTGTGGAATCAGAACAGCATTGCTTTCCTGGAATTGTGTAATAATATGCATGACCTGATGCCAAGTAGGGAGCTCACAGGAGTCTTTCTGTGGGTTTGGTTGTGTAATTCAGGTTGACTGTTCATATGGCTGGCCTCCATCTCCTCCCCTTTAGGAGGTCAAGCTGGGTGATCCAAAGCCCCTGCCCTCCATCACTTTTTTTTAATGCCTCAGAGACCCCATTCTAAATCATATTGTTATCATCTAGTTGCCCAAGGGTCTTAGACAAAAAAAATGCCCTCCTAATAAGAACGACATTCCAACGTCTTCGAGATCACCTCCGAGAAGCCAGGGATGAACACCGGACCTCTTTTGGGGGCACGGTTAAGTTCTTTACTACACAGGGACTGATGCCTCACCTCTGTTCCCAACTCTACAACTATTTGACTTCATGACTTTGACAAGTTAATTTTCTCTTGGTTCAGACTTTCCTCATGTATTAATCAAGGAAATTAACTTTGTGTTCCTTTTCCAACTCATAAATTTACAAATCTGAATCTGAAAAGACCCGTAGGTATGGATAAAAATTCCCAGGGCCAATGCATACAGTCACATAGGTGTGTGTGCATTGCACAGTTCTGTTATGAATGGGACACCCTGCAGCTGTGCTCCAGACGTGTACACATATACACATACATAAACATGTACACTTGGGGGATTTTAAGGTGTGGCATCTATTTTTTAAATTTTATGTTATTATAATGCAGTCATTTTTGTAATATGAGGACCCCTTGATGACAGGAAGGAGAACAGAAATATTTCTAACTGAGCATTGATCCTCTGCTCCGTGTACTTCTAGAGAATGTTGTGATATATTTAATTTTATTGAAATTATAAAATTATTCCATTTTATACCATCAAGTCCCTTTTTCTGATAACAGACACATTGAACAGTAATTTGCTGTGGAATGAATCTCAGCCACACACATGGTTGCTCAATTAATCTAAAATAACACTAAAGGCAATATCACAAGTCACTGGGCAAATTTTCCAAAAAAACAAAGCATGTTGAAACAGGAGAAAAAAGAATGAGTAATGAACAGGGTTCTGTTCTTATTTGGCCAAGATGATAAAGGCAGTTCCGGAACTTCTGGACTCTTTCTTTCTACTAGCAATTAGGCAAGTGGCCAATATCCTGTTATCCCAATTACAGACAAAGAGCAACAAGATGCAAGCTCGCATTTTAATAAACAGTCTTATGTCTAGAACAACAACATATTTGCTTTGTTGCCTCTTTCATCAGCTCTAATCCTAAAATAGGATATTAATTTCTACCTCATAAGATGTTTTGATAATTAAATTAACTAGAGCTCTTCAACACTTAGCACAGTGCCTAGTATATAGCACCCAATCAATATTAATTGCTCTCATTAATATTTTAATTCAAATAATTAGTCACAACTCAAGTTACATGCTTATTTTACTAATGCTAAGAACCAGGGATATTTGCATTTAATCTTTGATACTAAATAATAGTATTGTATCTATCTCCATCATCTTTTTTCCCCACTTATTTATTCTATATGTTCATTTCTCTTCTCCTGCTTTCCCCCAATTCATTCTTCCTATTATAATTTTATTGTCACTTAATTTTATTACCTTCATGTTAGTTTACTATTTTTGAACTGAGCTTATTTAATTGTTGAGTAGAACATCAATTTTCTTATAGTATGAAAATAAGGAGGGCTGGGTGAAGTGGCTTATTGCTGTAAGCCCAGATGAATGGGGGTGCTAAGGTGGTAGGATTGCTTGAGCCGGGGAGACAGAGGTTGCAGTGAGCTGAGGTTTCATCACTGCACTGCACCTGGGTGACAGAGTGAGATATTGTCAAAAAAAAAAAAAAAAAGAAAAAAGAAAAATATAGGAGGAGGTTGGACTAAACCAGTCCGCAATTCTCTCCCAGGGTGAGAATTTAGTGGATAAATAAGCCTGCATGACATGGTCATATGGACATGATAGGAGCAGAGTAGATGAAAATATCCAGGGATAAGAGAAAATATCCAATTTTTGGTTCCTGATGCAATGGGCATTTTCTAACAAATCTGCCATCTCACATTATAGAGTGTAGGTAAGTATCGAATGTTAGTTTAGGAGTATTTAGTGGATTATAAAACATTCTATTATAAAGACACATGCACATGTATGTTTATTGTGGCACTGTTTTACAATAGTAAAACTTGAAACCAACCCAAATGCCCATCAAGGATAGACTGGTTAAAGAAAATGTGGCACATATACACCATGGAATACTATGCAGCCATAAAAAAGGATGAGTTCATGTCCTTTGCAGGGACATGGATGAAGCTGGAAACCATCATTCTCAGCAAACGGACACAAGAACAGAAAACCAAACACTGCGTGTTCTCTCTCATAAGTGGGTATTGAACAATGAAAACATGGACACAGGGAGGGGAACATCACACATCAGGGCCTGTTGGGTGATGGGGAGGCTAGGGGAAGGATAGCATTAGGAGAAATACCTAATGTTGGTGATGAGTGGATGGATGCAGCAAACCACCATGGCACGTGTATACCTATGTAACAAACCTACATGTTCTGCACATGTACCCTGGAACTTAAAGTATTTAAAAAAGAGAGAGAGAGAGAAAGAGAAAAAAAAAAAAGTGAAAGCCTCAGGAGAAAAGGACAAAAGGGCTGTCAAGTAACCATACTTTTTAGGCATTTGATGTGTTTTGGCTTTTTTTTTTTTTAAGATACTGTAGGGAAAAGGGAAACACAATTTTTACATTAATATAGCTTATATTTTAGTTTTATTAAGACTTTTCATTTCAAAGGGTATTTTAGATAAATGACTGCAGAAAATGGTCCTTTTATCTGTAGTTGTCAGAGTATATAATTGAATGCCTGGATTGTTTCAGTATCTTGATACCACTCATTCATGATTAAAATTAGCAGTGTTTTGCAAAGTCAAGTGTACCACAGAAGAAATGAAACTGAATGCCAGTAAATAACTGCTATTTACTAATACTTTAGTTTTTAAATATTATTTAATTTGTCTTCAGTAAAAGTTAGTTGTTTTAATGAATCCATATTCCAATTATTTATTTCAATTAACATAAAGTCTACTACAGTAGATGTCAATGCACAAGTAACTAAATGCTTGTTTTTGTTTGTTTGATTTTTTTTCAGCTTCTTTTCACTTTTGACTTGATCAAGTTTGATTTTCAGAAAGATGAACCCATGAGAAATGAACAGGGGTGGTGTATTCATGTAAAAAAAGGTAAGACTAGTACTTGAAGACGTCTCCTCAAGCAAAGTTTCTGATCTCCTACATACAGACATCCCTCAGTATCCTTGGGGGATTGGTTCCAGAACCCCAGGTAGACACCAAAATTCATGGATACTTGTTCCTTATATAAAACGATATAGTATTTGCATATGAGATGTGCACATCCTCCTGTATAATTTAAACAGATTGCTTATAATACCTGATACAATGTAAATGCTACATAGTGTCATACTGTATTTTTATTTGTATTATTTTTATTGTTGTATTATTATTTTATCTTTTTTCCCCAAATATTTTCTATCTAAGGTAGGTTGAATCCACAGATGTGGAACCACTAATATGGAGGGCCCACTGTAGTTGCTAGTGAATTTCAAAAGGAGATAATGACTGGGTCCACTGTGTAATTTAACATTGGAATATTAATGTAGGTGGAAAAATTTTACTATTAGATGTTAAGAGCCCCAGATGAATCAGTCAGATGGTAAATTATTAAAATTAAAAAGTGGTATCTATTTGGCTGAAACAATTCCTTTTTTTTTTTTTTTTTTTAGATGGAGTTTCACTCATGTTACCCAGGCTGGAGTGCAATGGCGTGATCTCGACTCACCACAACCTCCGCCTCCTGGGTTCAGGCAATTCTCATGCCTCAGCCTCCTGAGTAGCTGGGATTATAGGCATGCACCACCATGCCCAGCTAATTTTTTGTATTTTTAGTAGAGACGGGGTTTCACCATGTTGACCAGGATGGTCTCGATCTCTTGACCTCATGATCCACCCACCTCGGCCTCCCAAAGTACTGGGATTACAGGCTTGAGCCACCGCGCCTGGCTCTGATACAATTCTTAATCCACCACATCTAGTATATAACAGTGACAAACGTCTAATATCCTATGTTGCCAAGCTATAATACAAAAATTAGTGAATTAATTTATCATTCTAGATATAATGAAAAGTCAGGCCAACCTGGATTTAAACAAGGTCTCTGACACTTAGAAATGGTGGAACTTTGGACAGATTAGTCAACCTGTCTAAATCTTATTTTCTTCATATGTAAAGTAGAAGTGACAATATTTATTAAGTGAGGTTATTGTGGACAATTAAATAAGAAGTATATATATCCCTGGGGGACCTGGTATGTGGCTTGTTACTTTCCTCTCCTTAGCTTCTTCCTTTCACTCCCCTACTCTGCCAAGGTAGAGTTTCTTACAATTTTAGGTTAGAAATTTTCATGAAAGCAAGTACCTCAATTAACCTGCTGCTGCATATAATAATAAATTAGAAAATGCAATGGAGAGATGTGCACTTAGAATTGTTTAGAGATCTGGTATGAACAAATCAGGCCAAAATTAATTTTTGTTGCCTTAAAATATGTTTAAACTACATTTCAGAGATGACTTCCTAAATCTTTACTTCAAATGTAAAGATAAATGTGGCAAACCTGTTTTAATTTTCTGGTAGCCGAGAGACTGAAAAAAAAATAGAAGCTTTGTCTATTAAAACAACAAATCTCCCAAATCTCTGAATTTCAAGCCTACTGGAATTTATCAAATATGTTTTTCCAATTCTATTCTATAGACACTGTCCATGGGAAAGTAATTTCTGAGGAGAGTGCAAAGAACTTAAACACACTTTTCTACTCTTCTGTTTCTTAAAATTACAGTAATATCTGGTATTAAAACTTGAATCCCAGAACTGTGCTTATGCAGCTTCAGAGTTTCTTAAAAAGCTAGTTGACCCCAAATGTCTGTTTTTCTACTTTGGAATTTCCATTATGAGCTACTCAATATATTTTTTTTAATTAAGCGCTGTGTCTTCACAATATAAATTATGCCTAGACAGGAAAGATATGAATACACTGTGACTTATTAAAACATTTGCAACAATTAGTTTGTCAGGGAAGAAACTGTCACCTGTGTCCTGAAAAAGAAAAAAGAATGTAAAGTTTAAAGGAGATACAAGAGTCTTGAAAAATTCTGAAATATAGGGAATGTAGACTGACATATCACAGAGGTAAGGCTTTGGAGTCAGAAAGACCTTGTTATTAAAAAATTAAAAAAAAAAAAAAAAACTCCGACTCCTGCATTTGACAGCTGTATAACATTGGTGAATTCCTTTTTTTATACCTCAATTTTTTAACCTTAAAAGGAAAATATTATCAGGGACTTTATTACGGTTTTGTGATGAAGGTTAAATGGGTTACATACGTAAAACATTCAGAATTGGGACTGTTACCCAGAAAGTGCTCAGTAGGTATAATAGTGGTGATGATGATGATGATGGTGATGATGATGATGGTGTTGGCAACGACAATGATGATAATGATGATGCTATGACACTCTGCTGGAGCAGAGAAGATTTGTTTTGGCCCATGACCTGTGTGTCCTTGAAAGCCAGGATGCCCAGGAGTAAGAGAAATCGGAGGTGAGTAAAGCCTGTTGGCAGGGTGCGGTGTCTCATGCCAGTAATCCCAACACTTTTGTAAGCTGAGATGGGAGGATTGCTTAAGCCCAAGAGTTCTAGTTTAGCCCAGGCAAATAGTGAGACTTTTCTCTACAGAAAGATAAAAAATTAGCTGAGCCTGATGGTGTGCACCTGCAACCCAGCTACTTGGGAAGTTGAGGTGGGAGGATTGTTGGAGTCTGGGAAGTCAAGGCTTTGGTGGAGCATGATCATGCCACTGAACTCCAACCTAGGTGACAGAGTGAGACTTATTCTTTTTACAGAGCATTAAAAAGACAGAAATCACTCTGTATTATAGATTGCTGGACTCCAACTTCATCTGTCCACATGAACACTGCATCTCCTTACAGCAGGCATAGCAAGCGGACGGTAGCCTTGAAGACTTCTGGAGCAGTTATTGCTGCTGTCCTTTGTCCTCTTGCCTTCTTTTAGAAATAGTTTTTACCTTGCAGATTGCTGAGAAAAATCTTAATTAATTTGAATAAACTTGATTGGAAAGTTATTTCAGATAATGTATCTAAACCTAACTGAAACTAATAAGTACCATGGACTAGGAGACTTTTTCAATGTCTCATCTCTTTCCCATCAAAGGTTTCCAGAATAGTATCCCAGAGAAATAAACCATTTTATTATAATAATGATTTTATTGGATCAGAAATAGTATTATACAGAATCTTTGCCACATGGTCATAAAAACTTGAATTTGAGTTCTAGGTCCATTTATCTCTCTGAGCATGGCAACTTACTTTACCCCTCTGGGTCCTAGTTCCTTGCTAGTGAAATAGGGATTATATCAATTTCAAAGGATTTCTATGCAGAATAAGCAAGATGGCATTTGCAAAGGGCTCATCGTAGTGTACAATAAATAAAATGCTATCATTATTTTATTAACACCATCATTACAGTTATTTATATAACAAATGTCAGTAATATCTGTGGTAACATCTACATAATCCAAAACAAAAACAGCCATTGGTCTGTCCACCTGGGAAGTACAAGAAATGTAATGAGCCTTTTCTTTCCATTCAATTCCCTTTTTATTAGTTTTTCCAAAGTAATTTGTGTTTGTGGTAATCTATGAAAGCATGTGCTAGATATAGGCACCAAGGGTAAATGATGTCAAATACAGAAATAGGTTCAGAGGAAGGTGAGATAAACAGCACTGGTTGTGCTGGCCAGATACAATATAGATACATGCATGGTGTGTGTAACAATAGTTTTAATCAGAGGGCTGCAAAAATGTCGTTATTTCTTGCAGGGGAACCTGGACTTCTCATTTCTCGAGTGCATGCCAAAAATCCCTTCTTTGGCTATGCTGGGTCTTACAAGCACACAAAAAACAAATTGCTTTGTGATGTCTTCAAGAAGGGAGATGTTTACCTTAACACTGGAGACTTGATAGTCCAGGATCAGGACAATTTCCTTTATTTTTGGGACCGTACTGGAGACACTTTCAGGTATGAAATGTCATGGGATGCACAGCTTGTTCTGTAATTGTGAACTGTGCTTCTATAGAAACATCAGAGACCACATATGCTTTAGCTTTCAGGGCAGACAGAGCCCTTTTATCTCCATGTCCCCTTATTAAAAAATTTATTGGCCATCTGTTTCTAAACTGAACCACCAGTTAAATTTTGATGTAAAATTTTATAATTATTTTAATGAATCAGTTTAGACCAAATCAGTGAGGTTCTTTTTAAGGAAAGTAAAACTGGCAGACAGACAGATGTAAAAGATAAACGGTAGGGTTAAAACAGAAAAGCAGTTTGGTCAAATGTAGTCTAATTCTTGACCTCATGATAAAAATTTTGAAACAGAAAATATCCCCTTTCTCATATTTCCTTTTTTAATTCCTTAAGATTATTTTAGGCCTATAAAATTATTTTGCTTTACTAGTCCAATGACTTGAATGAATGCTTGAATGAATAAGTAACTTCCTACATCTTTGCCTTCTGGTACCATGTTATAAGCTCACTTTATATAAAACTATTTCAATTAAAGCAAAATATTCATCAAAAGCATTAGAGAAGTCAAAGGGGTTGATACCTAGAAATTAAAGTGGGTCAGTATACTACAAGACAACTAGAGCTTTACTTTCAATTTTTATTACCAGAGAAAAGGAATGTTTTGTATTTCATTGTTATTTTACAAAATTAGATTTTTATAAAGATAATCCTTATAATTATTTTATATTTATGTATATTACAAAACATATTATAGAAAGTAACTTATTCAAATGAGATATAAAGTAATTTGATCGAAAAGACCAAAACTGATTTTGCTGAATTACTAACAAAGTCCTTCCTTAGAAATGTCTTTTATCTTGAAAACTACAATTATGTTGGTCAGTAGATGCTTGCACACAGCCAAATGCAAGGCATTAATACTGAAACTGGTAACTAGTTTTTCAAATACAGGTGCACTAACTGGAATTTGATTTTTTCATTTAGATGGAAAGGAGAAAATGTTGCAACCACAGAGGTTGCTGATGTTATTGGAATGTTGGATTTCATACAGGAAGCAAACGTCTATGGTGTGGCTATATCAGGTATAAGTATATTTCATATTTTGGAAAGATTCTTAGAATAGAATTGCCACTATTTTTTAGTTTTGCAACAGTCTTACTAATTCAGCATTTTAATTTTTGTGTATTAAGATAAAGATTTTATTACTGTCTTGGCAAGTAATGCCTTTGACCAAGATAACAAAGTTCATGGTCACATCAGGGGAACGGTACCAACTGAATTTTAATGCCTATGTGTATTTTTAAGCAAAGCTTGAAAACTCTGATCAATGGCTCACTGCTTGAAATTAGTTACAGCTTTTTATTAGTCTATTATTTTTCTTTTTATGACTAGTGTTTGTAAATACCACTAAACAAGAACATGTTCTACTTCAAGGGTTTGAAAATTCTGACTTGTAGTTAAGATGGATCTTTTTAAAAATTATTTTTAAATTTGGGCTCATTATCTTTATAAATATGCACATGAGGATTGTCTCATGATGTTGAAAATATCACAGAAAAGTGACCAATTAGTAGTCATAAGACAGCCATTCTCCATTTTTCAGTGAATGCTTTTAGGTGCCGAGGAGATCAGGGATGTGAGTGTTTGGATAGCAGAGCAGAAGAAGGGAAGGCTAACTTTATAAATAGCCACTGAATGTTGGAAAAAGGTCCCAGGATGTTCTGACCCCTGTAACTAGCCACAGGGGGCATGATAAGCAGTAAATGATCTGTGGAATTAATTATGAAAATATGAACTTTTAATTTCTTAACTTAAAAATATACACTTAATATTTTACATTAATGTTTAGGATGTATATTTCTGCTGGAATATAGTTTCTTTAAATAAATGTTCTTTCGTAATATTTGTTTTAGTGATGGCAGTATGGAAATTTATTGTCATTTATAGTGTTTCCCATTCCATGTATTTTATTTCTGTAGTATAGGCAATTAGAGGTAGACTCTGGTTTTCCCTGTCCTTAAATGATTTCTGGGGAGTAAATCATATGTTCAGGGAAGGACACAGACTCCTTTATGCTACTGTTGTTTTATTATTACTGAAATAGATTTAATGTTTCCGTATGTGTCAATTAGCATATACAGAATTATCTGTTAAAGTTTATTTGGTATTTAAAAATGGTCTCTATTTCAAACTTTTTTTCAGGTTATGAAGGAAGAGCAGGAATGGCTTCTATTATTTTAAAACCAAATGAATCTTTAGATTTGGAAAAACTTTATGAACAAGTTGTAACATCTCTACCAGCTTATGCATGTCCACGATTTTTAAGAATTCAGGTAATTTTAGTGGTGGAGTTTACTATCAAATTTAAAGCCAGAAAACAAGGATGTAGTTTAATTGCAAAATAATATTGTATCCTTTAGATAACATGCAGGTTATAATGAGAAGCATGGTGTGTAGAGTTGATGCAGACTGCTTCCATGTTTGAAGCCTAATTATAAAGGGAGCATGATGAAATGCTAGGGCATACCTGTCTTTGTCATAATTATAGAATTGCTCTCTTCCTCTTTGCTCAGAGCAAAATGATGGTCCCAGTGATGGTGGCAGTCCAAAATTACATCTTACTCATATCTTGTGAAGACATTTGGTGCTATGTACCTAGAATTAGGTTCCATCAAGCAGACATCAAAGAGACTGCAAGATGTGTGCAGAACCTAAAGGCATCTGGCTTTAAGCAATCCTGGTTTTAATTTTTATTGCCTTTCTGTCCAAATTCCCCCTCACCTGCAACTTCCCCATGTGAGAAATTCTGAGTTTATTTATTTTGGGATGAGGACTTTCTCTTGTTAAGTTACTGGCATAAGGCACAGTAAAAAGAAAATGAATTTACTTAACTACTGAGTAATCTTACTTACTCATTTATTCAACCATTTATTTAATATTGTGCCTAAAATATAATTTTCCAAAATTAGTACTCATCGTCTCTTAACATCCAACCACCAATTTTTTTTCTGAATACATTTGTTATTTCACTACTAGACCCCTAATGGAGCAACAGTCTGTGTCATATTCAGGTTTACAGTATTTACCAAGTAATCATGGCAGCCACGTCACTGCTTGTTCAATGGGACACATTCTCTGAATGATAATAATATGTGTTTCATTTGCCTTTTTAATTTTAAGTTTTTACACTGTCTCAGATTGTTTTAACAACAACCCTCTGAAACACTAAAGGTAAGTAAATATGAAGCAGAAGTAATATGTTTTTATTGAAATTTTATCGAGATAGTTGTAGATTCACATGCCGTTATAAGAAATAATAAGAGACAGCTTGGATGTCCTTCACCTTGTTTCCCCCAAGGATGACATTTTGCAAATCTGTCACAATCATGATATTAACATAATCTACCCATCTTATTAAAAATTCTCCTGCTTTACTTGCAGTCATTTGTGTGTATATTTTCTATACAGTTTTATCACCTGTGGAACGTCATGCATTCATGACCACAGTAAGGATAATGAAGTTTCAACATCACAAGTTTCCCTCATGTTGCCCTTTTACAACCATTTCCAGCTCCCTTTTGTCCCTCTTCATCCTCACCCCACCCCATAAGTAATATATTTTGATGAGTGGAAAGTTGATAGGACAAATAATATTTTAAGAATTTTTTTCCAGGTCAACATAAAATTCACTTTCGTTAAGTAGAAGAAATATATTAGCACAAGACTACTTTAGAAGATTAGATAAGCTTTGCACAAATTTAGAAACTATTTTAGGCTCTTTGAGATAGCGCCACTACACTCCAGCCTGG